GGTCGGCCCAGACCACAGCGGACCCCCGGGGCGGAGTCAGTGGGGTCGCTCGGCTCTATGGAAAGCCCCACAGCGGGGTTGTGCAGCGGGGTTGTGACCCCGCTGCGCGCCTATGTTTGGACGAAAAATACTTGTTTTGAGGACCTTTTTGCAATTTCGTTTTTGATGTTTTTGAGTTGGAAAAACCTAAGTTTAAGTATTCTTTGTAGCCTACCAGGCAGATCATCTTTGTTCTTGCAGAAAAACAATTGAAAAACCTTTGTTTACTTTTCTATTTCATCATCTACATGATTAAGCTTGAATCTAAAATGGGTTTAAGAGTAATCATGATGTGTAGTGAGTACATCACCTTTTGAATTCATGGGTTAGGGAGATTAAGGGTGATTAGGTTAGTTCTAGGTTGTTTTAGTGTAGATCATTCTTGTTCCTTGCTAGTAGAGTATTCATAATGCATCTTATGAGTTAACCACTCAAAAGTTGATCAATAGGCATTTCCCACCCAAAAGGTGTTCGATGAAATGCCTGAGACAACTCTCCTAAGCTNGTTTGATTGATCATTTGCCATCCTTAGTTCGAAACTTGATCACCCAAAATCTAATCCCTACTCCCATGAGTTCTCCTTTCTCTTAATCAAGGAAGTTATTTAGTTATCGCTTTTCTTATTCTTAGTTATAGTTTAAAACCATTATTTATTCGATTGCACTTAGATTAAGTGAGTACTTGCATTCTCAGTGCTTTAAAATTCCTTAGAATTGGTTCGACAATCTCTTATACTACAACATTTGCCTTAGGAGCCTTGAAAACTCCTAACATCAGCAGGAGTGACCGAAACGGTGCCGAAGTCCAATATAATTCAACAATCATATTATACAACACGTGTCGCAGTTACTGAACCATTGATTTGCCGTCCACGTCACGCGTGCCTAGCGGTCAAACATTTCAGACGCGAAAGCACCAAATCATGCTTTTCACTTTTCTTTTCTTGATTTATAGTAATTTTTTACTTTTACTAGTTTCCACTTTCCACTCAATACGATGCAAAAAGAAAACTGTGAACGATAATTTGTAGGGAAATATGTCTCTATAACCATAAAAAAAACATAAATACACTAAATAGCTAAAATTACATTTTCTCTCTCCTTTTTTCTTCATATCTCTCTCTACTCTTTCTCCTAAAAATCTAATTTTCTTTTTTTTTCCTAGCTATTTGGCAAATAAACCCTAATTTATATAAGAAGAGTTGTTTGGCAACAATAATCCTTTTTCGATGGGGTTATTCCTTCGAATGTTGCGAGTTAGCATGCATAAACTGTTCCAAAATTGAAAAAAAAACCTTGGTAAATTTACTCAAGATGATATCTACATGCCGCAAAAAAACGTTAAATCTTAGGGTTTAGTTACTTGCTTATGAGATTTGCTAGTTGTCTAGTTGTTAAACAACCTACAATGTAATATTCTACTTTTTCTTACAAAATAGAATAAATGAAAATTTAGCATAAAATGTTCTAATTTTACTCTAAATTTTATTTCATAATGGAGTAATAAACAAAAAGAAATTCTATTTATAGAATAAATTTTATTATGAAAATAAAAATGAAGAGTTGGAATAATTTATATTTCCTATTTACTTTTATTGTATTTTCGTGTAAATAATAGAGTTGGATAACCTCACATTATCATACAGTGATTTAATGTCAGTTATCAGAGCACAAAAATAAAAGAAAGTCAAAATAAAGATGGAATGATGGCTAAAAAGTCTAAGATGTGTGGCACGCACACTATTCATAAATAACACATTGGGGTTTCTGAGTATTTTTATTAATGAGACAAAGTATGTTGATACGTGACACAAGCAATATATTCCAATTCCAATGCTTAGAGCATCTCCAATGTAATACTTCATTTCTTCCTCTAAAATAGAGTAAAAGTGAATATGGAGTAGAAATGTTTCATCCCTACTTCATATCCCACTCTATAATAGAATAATGAACAAACAAAAAATAAATTACTCCATTTATGAAGTAAACTGTATTATGAAGTAGAAAATGGAGTTGAGAGTTGAGTTGGAGTGTTTTCTACTCCATTCTCCATTTTACTCCATTTTGGAGTAAAAATTAGAGTTGGGTTGGAGATGCCCTACAATTTATTCGGAGGTGTTCTTCATCGCTTCAAGATGTTCGTCTTCTTTGTAACCTTATTTCTGACATTCTATGCCAAATATTAATTAACCCAATTTTTTTAAGAAATAGCCATTGTATTAGATATACTCATATACACACTAGGTGACCTCTTAACCGGTGTGTATCACATCTCTCGTTAAGAGCCTGTACACATGCTTCCAGAATAAGCCTAATATATATATTCTCACCGATGATACTTATTGTAAAGTTTTACTCCCTAGCTTATAAGCATTTAAAGTACTTGTACAATCAACAGAGATTACGTGTGCTTCTTAGTCTACTTTACTAACTTTTGACGTAAACTGTTGTAACATTAATTAAGTTTATATAACATTTATATTACAATACCAAAGATATCTTAATTAATGTGAAAACAAGTTAAACAACTTTCGATTTTATTTTTCTTTTATCAAACATAGAATGTTAATATTATTCGTTTTGAGTGTTTAAAGCTGCAACGGCATCGCCATATACAGAAAGTTTAAGCGCATGATAAGAGGCATGCACACTCTTTCCCATTTTCAAGCAAAAAAAGTTACATACATTTATACTCATACGCTTGTATAAATCTAGAGAGAGAAGAGAAATGTGTGCTATTTCAGAGTAATAAAAAGGAAACTTATTAATATATTTTTTTTCTAAAGCTTTTGTCTCTCTCTCTATCTCAGAGCCTCCTTCCTGGTTTGTTTGCATCCGGAAACAGAAGAAACAAACTGTTGTTTCATGATGACACCTTTGGTTTCTCTTGTTCATTGAAGGGTCGAATTTGTTCTGAGAAAAGCAGAGAGAGAGAGAGGCCCACAAGGGAGACATGCTTGTCTGTGTGTAGTCCCTTTTTTGTATGTTCTTTAATCTCTTCCACTCTCTTCCGTTTTGTTTTTGTCATGTGTAAGAGTTTTGTCCTTCGAATTTGGAGTTTTCTTTAACCAAAAAGAACCATATTCTATGACATGGCTTTGTCTTTAATTCTTCTGGTTTCTTGATTTATCCTGTATCCTGTTTGCTCAGTAGAGATCTTTGTCTCATCCTGTGTCCACAATAATTATAAAAATGAAGACTTATTAAGAAAAAAAGTCTGAGTCTCGCTTAAAGCCTAGTGTTGAGTGTGGGAGAGACTAAAGTCACTAAACAGAACATAAAAAAATATCTACATGATGGCTTCATTGGCTTCTGTTGAGGACAAGATGAAAACAAATGGTTTGGTTAATGGAGGAACAACAACAACATGTCAATCTACTCTGCTTGAAGAGATGAAGTTGTTGAAGGATCAGTCAGGTTTCTTCCTAAATATTTTGACTTTAAAATTCCTTTTGAAGAAATTCTCTTGCAACACTTTCTTTGTGGGTTTACTTTTGTTATGACATTCCTAAGAAATAAACATTAAAAGGTCCAACCTTTATCTTTGTCAATAGCAAATTGAAGTCTTGCTAACTTGCCCTGAAAATTTTGGTTTACTAGGAACGAGAAAGCCGGTAATAAACTCGGAGCTATGGCACGCTTGTGCAGGCCCTCTGGTTTGTCTCCCTCAAGTTGGCAGCTTAGTTTATTACTTCTCACAAGGTCATAGTGAACAGGTAACTCTTTGTGTGTGTGTGTGTTTAGTAACAACAAATACATTACAACTCTCTAGATCTTGCAAGCTCTTGTTCAGTGGTTTGACTTTTTTTGTGCACTTATTGATTCAGGTTTCTGTTTCAACGAGAAGGTCAGCAACAACCCAAGTTCCTAACTACCCAAATCTACCATCTCAGTTGATGTGCCAAGTTCACAATGTTACCCTTCATGTATACACCTCTTCCTAAAACTTTTTTTGAACTTTGTATGCAAACAAATTTAATTTCTTTGTTTCATTTTGTAGGCAGACAAAGACAGTGATGAAATTTATGCTCAGATGAGTCTACAGCCTGTTCACTCTGTATGTTTAGCACCTTGAAATTAATTTTCTATAACTCATTGATTAAGAGAATGTGTGTTTAAAATGGTTTTGTGTTTCAGGAGAGAGATGTGTTCCCTGTACCAGACTTTGGACTACTAAACAGAAGCAAGCACCCAGCTGAGTTTTTCTGTAAAACGCTTACTGCTAGTGATACAAGTACACATGGAGGTTTCTCTGTCCCACGTAGAGCTGCAGAGAAGCTATTCCCACCGTTGGTGAGTCTCTGCATTTGTTTCTTGTGCTTCAATTGCTACTTATATGATGTATATTATACATTACAGGACTACACAGCACAGCCACCAACACAGGAGCTTGTAGTTCGAGATCTTCATGAGAATACTTGGACATTTCGCCATATCTATAGAGGTAAAGCAATGAGTTCTCTCTCACTCTCTCTGTATATATTGAGTTGATATTTGAGCTCAGTTCTTGCTTTGGCATCCTCAGGGCAGCCAAAGAGACATCTCCTGACAACAGGTTGGAGTGTGTTTGTTAGCTCAAAGAGATTAAGAGCTGGGGATTCTGTTTTGTTCATCAGGAATGAGAAGTCGCAACTGATGGTCGGTGTGAGGAGAGCTAATCGCCAACAAACAGCTCTTCCTTCATCTGTTCTCTCAGCTGACAGTATGCACATCGGTATTCTAGCTGCTGCTGCTCACGCAACTGCAAACCGCACTCCTTTCTTGATTTTCTATAATCCAAGGTTAGCTCAAAAGCATCTCAAATAGTATAAAACATCTTCTCACAAAGATTAAACAAGAGTTTGTGGTCTATGTGTTCAGAGCGTGTCCAGCAGAGTTTGTGATCCCTCTAGCTAAGTACCGCAAAGCTATATGTGGGACTCAGCTCTCAGTTGGTATGAGGTTTGGAATGATGTTTGAAACTGAGGATTCAGGGAAACGTAGGTAAGTGATCATCTATAACCACAATCAAATATGGTTTGGTTTGTTCACTTTTTTAATGTTTTTGGATGTGTAATATTTTAGATACATGGGAACCATTGTTGGTATCAGCGATTTGGATCCATTGAGATGGTCTGGTTCTAAGTGGCGTAACCTTCAAGTTGAATGGGATGAGCCTGGATGTAATGATAAACCTACTAGGGTCAGTCCATGGGATATTGAAACACCTGAGAGTCTCTTCATTTTTCCTTCTATGGCCTCAGGACTCAAACGTCAGCTCCATCCATCTTACTTTGGTAAGTTAAATAGAATGTGTGCTCTTATGTGATTTTTTTGCATTATCATTAACAGTTGTGAGATTTGCAGCTGGTGAAACTGAGTGGGGTAGCTTGATCAAACGTCCTCTAATCCGTGTTTCTGATTCCACAAATGGGATTCTGCCTTATGCATCATTCCCAAACATGGCTTCAGAGCAGCTTCTGAGAATGATGATGAGACCTCACAACAACAACAACCAGAATGCAACTTCTTTTATGTCTGAGATGCAGCAGAATGTTTTAATGGGGCATGGAGGTTTTCTCGAAGATATGAATATGCAGCCACCAATGGTATCTGAGACGGTGCAACCAGAAAGCAAGCTAACTTTGAAACCATCTGCTTCCAATACAAGTGGCCAAGAACAGAATCTGTCACATGTTCCTGCAAAACCTGAGAGCAGCTCCGAGAGAGTCAACCATGGAAATGAGCAGAAGTCAGTGGAACAGGCTAGCCAGGGGAGAACAGTCACAGAGTGTAATGAGGATGCTTTGTCTCCTTTACAAGCTAATCATTGTCCTGACACAAGTCAACAGATATACCCACCACAGTCTGATCCAATAAACGGAGTCTCATTCCTGGAAACAGAAGAGCTGACATCACAAGTCTCGTCCTTCCAGTCTCTAGCCGGATCATACAAGCAACCATCACTTCAGGATACTTCAGCTGTTGTGTTGCCTGATTCAACAAACTCATCGCTGTTTCACGATATGTGGGACAATCAGCTGAACGGTCTCAAATTTGACCAGTTCAGTCCCTTGATGCAGCAGGACCTTTATGGTTGTGAGGATATGTGTGTGAGTAACAGCACAACCAGCAACATTCTAGATCCACCTCCACTCTCAAACACAGTTCTTGATGACTTCTGTGCCATCAAAGAGACCGATTTTCACAACCACCCTTCTGATTGTTTGGTCGGAAACAGCAACAGTAGCTTTGCACAAGATGTTCAGTCGCAGATCACATCAGACTCAAAGGCCTTTTCTCGCCAAGATAACTCTGGAGGAACCGGTACATCTTCAAGCAATGTTGACTTTGATGATAGTAGTCTGCTGCAGAATAGTAAAGGCTTTTGTCAGAAACTTGCAACCCCTCGTGTGCGAACCTACACTAAGGTAACAAATGCTAACTCTTGTTCCTTTCTTCCACTAAAGCATACATCATCCGACATGGAACTTTGGTTTGGTAGGTTCAAAAAACCGGGTCAGTTGGTAGGTCAATTGATGTCACAAGCTTCAGAGACTACAAGGAGTTGAAATCTGCAATAGAGTGTATGTTTGGACTTGAAGGATTACTCACTCGTCCTCAAAGCTCAGGGTGGAAGCTTGTTTATGTTGATTATGAGAGTGATGTTCTGCTTGTAGGAGATGATCCATGGGAGTAAGTCTCTCTCATTGTTCTATGAATCCATTAACTTAACCTCAATATAGTTACTTACATAACAACATGAACTTGTTTGTGCAGAGAGTTTGTGGGATGTGTAAGGTGCATAAGGATATTGTCGCCAACAGAGGTTGAGCAGATGAGTGAAGAAGGAATGAAGCTGTTGAACAACGCATGCATAAATGATCTCAAGACTTCTGTTTCATAAATGTAGCAGAATATTAAAAAATTTAGATGTGTAAGGAAAAAGAGAGTAAGGAAGTGTTTTTTTTTCTCGTACTGGTAGAGGACAACCATCTTGTTGGCCGTTTGATATCTTGTTCCTATTTGTAACCTGCAACTATTTTGAGGTTTATGTAGTAAGGTAATGAATGAAGCAATAGTTTAGCTGTCTGAATGGAGCTAACTGTTTATTCCAACTAAAACCGCTTTACCACCATATTATTTCTATGCTTATCAACTTAACGGTTCAATGAGACTTGGTTAGAAAATTAAATTAACTTTCAGAAAATTGTTAAGAAATTATTTTCATTCAGTCTTGCTATTCACTAAAAGTTATTAAATAATCTTCGTTGCTATGCTTGTATTCATTTCATGTGTTTTTATTGTATACCATTTATAGAATTGTACACCACAGAGAGTTCTCTGTTAAAAATATAAAAAATCATCTATAGCACGATTTTCAGTTGCGCAGGTTATGTCCCAATAAAAAAATAACACCAAACCAAATAATCCAACAGCCACACAAGTAAAACATTTGAAATAAGAAAAAAAAAACGATTCTGTACAAAAGACTATCCTTCTCCATTCTGTTTCTTCATCTGTCACTTAGGTTGTCTGAAGTCAAGGATCGTCTGAAAACAAACATATCAAATCATCAAACACTCCCCTAACATTTTCCTTCTCCCATTTCACTCCGTTCAGCTTCATCTCTGCCATTTTCTATCTGTAAGAAGCAAAGGCAGAATCATACATTATCTCATTAATTGACGAAAGCATCAAAATACAACAAACAGTGCATTGCAGAGAAACCATAGGAGGAGATTCGTTTACCCTTTGTTCCCGGTTGTGCTTGAGACGCAGACCGTTGGATTCTAGGAGATGAACCTTGTTTCCCATTGGCACCAACAGGCAATGAATGTCTCTTCTTGATGGAAACGTCTCTTTCCTGAAGATCAGGGCTTGATCTTGGTGAGTTATGTTCTTGTACTTTAAGTTTTGCCGACTGTGTTGGCTGCATGAACCTGGGAAGAGAGTTCTTGCCTCCGCTGCTCTCTCTTGCTTCTTGATCATTACCAAAAGAGTTTCTCCTCCCGCTTTTCTGTTCTTTCCCTTCTTCGTGTTCTCTAGTATTCTTACCCTCACCGTTACCAGTTTCCTGTTTGGGAGTTGTTATTTTCTTGCTAACTTTCCTCTTTTGGCTTGAACCACTCTTTCCGGATTTTTCCTTTCTTGCTTTCACTGAAGACGATGCTTGACTTGCAGGTGTTGCCTGAGATTCGGTGACTGACATCGGAGTTAGAGCTTGAAGCCCTGATCCATCTTCTGCAGGTCTCTTTTTGGAATCCGGTGTACTAGTAATAACTGATTCATGCTGTATTACTGAAACCTCAACTTCATTCTCCTTACGGTCCTCAACAGTAGCCAATGGAGTTTCAACTTTCACATCAATTTCTATCAACTCTGCTTGGTCTGTTTTGGGAGTACCATTCTCTAGAAGCTTAGATTCAACCTTGGTCTCTGCACCCTCAATGTCTGACTTCTTGTCAAGTGAATCAAGGGAAGAAGTTACAGAGAGTTCGGTGCCACACTCAGATCCACTGAGAGCAACATCTTCCAGAGACTGATCCTTCTTCGTGTTTGTAGTGTTAGCCTCTGATAAATCTACATCTCTTTTGCCTTCATCACCATCTTTAGACGAAAGCACCATTGCTTTGCTGGAACCAGTAGATGCAGTAAGTTCCTCAAATTTCGACTGCGCGGCAATGAATGAAGGATTGCTTGCCTTACGCTTCAAAGAAGCTTTAGGCTGATCATCCACATTCTCATCCTCTTCCAGCAAAGCCTCTGGATCCTTTGCAGCAAGTGGATGAGACTGGATCAAGTCATGGACAACCTCTGCAGATGCTTCTGATGAATCATATTGGCTCATTTTCTGTGTCTCAGATAGCTCAACATGATGAGCTGCTACCTTACTTGCTTCATAGCTTGAGAGACCAGTTTCAGCTTCAATCTCCAAGGTTGAGTCAGAGTTCACCACGTCAACTTGAGCTGATTCTTTGACATTATTGGTTTCTTCCAACTGTCGCTCTTCCGTCACCATAACTGAATTTGGAGTATCCTCAGGCTTTGAAACAGACATCCACCTCTCCAACCAGCTCCAAGCAGAACTAGGTTTCGTCGGATCACATTTAATGCTAATAGGCTTCGTCTTGGGAGTTGACTCCATTAGCTATAATCAAATATGCAAGAAAATGAATATACAATAATACCTTAAATAACCAGGTTTAATGCACAAGAATCGAGTTTTAAGAAAACATACATGTTTAGCAAACTTGTTTTCAAGAAGTTTTTGTGTTGCTGCATTTGTTTCCACCTTATCCTGAAACAAGAAACAGTATTAGTCCGCAGATTTTGATAGGAAAAAAATGATGATGAAAACATAATTCAACCATGTCAAAAACCTTACCGAGATTGCAGAAACACGGCTACCATCTTTGGTGGAATGACGAGCACGGACCATCGTCTGCATTTTGACAATAGCTTGAACACAGCGCAGTGATCCCATCGCCTGGTTCCTAACGAGGTGGCCACGAACTGCAGCTTGAAGTTTAACAACTTTCTTGCGCCTCAAAAGCTCTTTTCGCGCCTGCAGTTTAACAACACTCATCATCGTTTACTAACATTACTACGTAAGAAAGAAGACACATAAGAAGAAAGGAAACAAGAGCATACCAAAAAGCCACGTATGGCAGCTTGGATGATAATGATAACAGAATCATCAATTTTCTCATCAACTCCATCATCACTTTCTTTTCTTGTAATGATCACTTCTTCGGCTTCAGATACTTCTGGCTCAACATTACTAACAATTTCAACCTCGGGAGTAGTGTCTTTCTCTCTCAGGATTGCATCAGCAGCATTTGTTCCTTCCAACTTAGCTTCCAGTTCAGTTCCAACCAAACCATCCTCCTCAGTTTCAGTCCCTTTCGATTCCACAAGAAGAGGAAACTCAGCTGTTTTGTCCTCAGCGGATTGTTTTGTCTTCTCATCAACAGGTTCAGCGACATAGGTAACAGGTAACTGGCTCTTCTTCTTCTCATCATCAACATCAACAGAGAAAGTGTGCTTCTCAGAGACAATGTTATTGTCAGGAGAAGGAGAGTTGAGGAGAGCAGATTCAAGAGTCTCTCTAGTCCTAGAAGCAGGAGTTGTATCAGAGACAACACTAGTTATCAACCCTCTATTTTTCCCAGATCTCTTCCTGAAACTCCATCCACGCGAGCTCTTGTTCTACATTCCCAAAACCAATTTAAACAACACTTAAATCACATTTTTCATAAATTAAACACTAAAAAAACCCATTAAAAACCAAACAGATATAAATTCTCCTAAACAGACCAGACACAAAAAAAAAAAAAAAACCTTAAAAAAAATTCCAAACAATTAATAAAACCCAAAATAGACAAAACTAAACCTTGTGTTTCAAAAAAAAAAAAAAACTAAACTAAACCTAAGTAACGCCAAAAAAAAACCGATCAGGTTCTGTCGGAAGCATACGAGTATAAAAGTAGACAGATCTTAAATTAGAAATTAAAAGGAAGGAGTCAAACCGTTGTAGGTTCGGTTGCATCGTCACCGCCGGCGCAAGCAATGATACGAAGACAAGAAGAAGCTGAAGATCTTCCCATGTTTTGAATTTTTTGTGCTTTTGAAGACAAACCGTTTTAACTTCTTCTTATGGTCTTGTTGGATCCGAGTTTAGGAAGAGAGAGTGTGTGTGGTGTGTCGTTGGAAGTTGGAGCAAAAGGAAACGGAACTCAAAGGGAAGTAATTAAAATACGGTTTAGTGTTTGGGTTTGGAATCCGCCAATCTTTTCTCTTCTTCTTCTGTCTCTTGAGGTGCCAATAAAAGCCATAAAACGCTGTCACTGTCAGATCTCTCTCGTTACATTTTCCCTTTTATATACTATACTTTTCTTTATACAATAAAATAAAATAAACACAAAATTTCAAATTTTGGATTAAGCTGTGTTAGAAATTGAAGGAAATAAAAAAACTGAAAATATATTTCAATGGTATGAGAAGAGGAAGACCAACATATAGATTCTTTAATTGGATTCATATGTCTGGATTAACGAATTTTAAAAGCTGTGTGTTGTATTTAATGTTGGATTGATTGAATGGAACAATACTGAAATATGAATTAGTGGGGAATTATTCAATTATGGGAAGTCGATAATGTTGGTTCACCTAAAATAATACCACGCATGTGAGTGTCATGTGCTCTCTGTTTTTCCTTCATGTGTACCTTTTTTTCTTTCTCTCTCTCTCATCGCTTTTAGGTTTATCGATTTAATTGAATATTAATCATCATTATCGATATGGTTGAAGTCTTGTCTCTTAAATATGTTGATTAATTTTGTTTTTGTAGTGTAAGCAATAGTGACAATGATATGTTAACAAAAATGTATAAGGTGAAGAAAATGGTTTCTTAAAGCTTTCTCATAAGTCTTATTGGTAATATTTTCTTTAATAGACAGAAATCTTTTATTTATTGTTTCCTACATTTTTAGGATTAGAGTTTTTCTTTGAATTTGTATTAATTAAAATAATAAGATGGGCTTGTGGGCCCAAAGTGGACCAGCCCAAGAGAGAAAAAATAAGCTGTGGTTTGCTAAAAGAAGAAATGGAAGGTGTGGGGTATCTCTCTCTTACCAACTGATCGAGTCCTCTTAACCACTACTGGAATGTAATATTGACATTACTTACACGTGTCAAGTCCACAGCACTGTCAGCTAAGCATTTCGTTTTTTTGTACCTTTACGAAAAAAAAAATAACAAAGGAAAGTGTGGGGCTAAGTGAAAACGAAATCGACAGAAGATAGATTCATATATATCCACTGAGTTCCCGATACTCGTTTTGTTACACTTCTACTGAACAGTGATTAACAAACAACATACTCATAGTTGCAAAATAAAGTATATTACTAAAATTTTAAGTACAAATACAATGATAGTTAAGGAGTGGATTCCACATGATGCATGCTATCAGAAAAATGTTGAAATGGAAGATATTTTCCATAGAAATAAATCATTCGATGTGGTTTACATCAGAATACAGAAGCCGATAAGCATAAACAAATGTTTGATAAAAGCAAAAAAATAAGGTGTTACTTAGCCTCTCATTGTGTGAATAAAGAAAGAAAAACTGTTAAGAAGAAACCACATCGAAAACTTTGGAGTCAGGAGTAGTTTCTAAGACTTACGTGGTCTTCCTCTTCTTCCACCGGTCTTCACTGGTGCAGCTTTTCCATTAGCGGTGCGGCCGCCACGGCCTCTTCCTCCACGGCCACGTCCTCTGCCGCGAGTGCTCTGTTTCTTGCCATTGGCTTCTTCTTCTCCATCTTCACTGTAGTCGCTGTCACTGCCTTGAGCTTCCTTCTTCTCTTTGTCGCTGTTTTCTTCATCACTGTCTTGTTCAGACTCAGAAGAAGCTTTTGACGCTTTCCTCTTTTTAGTAGCACCTCTTTTGGCAGGTTGTTGCTTTGTTGTTGCCACAGCTTCTTCTTTTGGTTCTTCTACAGTCTCTGTTCAAAACAAAAGAAACAAATCTGTTCTGTTAAAAGAAGAAAGGATTACACTCTGTAAGGGGATAGATTTTGAAGTGAAAATGAACCTTCTAATGATCCTTTCCCATCGTAGATCTCTAACTGCACAACACACAAATCACAGAAGTAACCAAACACGTAGGTACAAAATCTTTAAATAACTTTCCTTGGAAGGATCAATCAAATAAGAATAGGGAACTCTTTCTTGTCTCACCTGCTCAAGACGATCAGTGATATCTGTTCTGTCAACTATGACCATAGAATGGGATAAACCGCATGCCACACTGCGAAAGAACATACACAACGGATTTATAAGAAGTTCCAATTTTATTATCTCAGTGGTAAAGTTTTTAGAACTCACCCCATTACATGCATTCCCTCAAGTATATCCACCTTCTTAGGCGCTGCAGATGATCTGAAACAAGAAAGAAGAAGCACAACGACAGTATTAATATGGTGTTTAAACTAAAGTTTGAGTTATATAATGAGGCATTACTTTTGACCGTTGGGGCCATAACCAAGTTCTCCATACTGAGCATGACCCCAGCTTATGCAAGAACTATCCGCACCAACAAAATGATGCATGCTTCCTGAATCCATCCAACGCAAGTTCCACCCACTGCACAAGGAATTACAAAACGTTAAAAACTAATCATCCAAAGCAATACTCGCAATCAGTGGAAGCTTGACGTAACACAAACCTTAAATCCATCATAGGTTTGGGGTACATCCAATCATCACCATTGTTCTTAATCTTTCCCCACATGTATAACTGCCCCCCACCTGAAAACAAAAACAGAAAAGGTTAATTACGTCGGAAAATAAGACTACCACATGATGTAAAGGCAGTTCAGATAAAAGTTCACTTACCAGCAGTACAAGCGGAGTTTGCAGAGCCAGCAGAGACAATGGCATTAGGAGGCAAAACATTGTGTCTCTGAAACACATCAATGCGGCGAGGAGACCATTCATCTTTCTGCTCCCTATGCCCAAGCCTGCAATTGACAAAACCAATATCTTATACCAGTCTTTAAAATTCTACCGTGTAAAGACTCAAAGACGGACTAGTACCAACCTTCCATATCCACCAAAGCCCCATCTGCAACATGTTTCAAGATTTACAAAACAAAAACATGTTTCAGACATATAAATCGAAAGAGCAGATGATTAAAATGATCGATATTTTGAACAGAGAAGATACTTACGTGTAAACAAACCCATTCTTATCGACGGCCACTGAATGAGAGAAATTTGAAGTTAGCTTTCTTGAGAGATAGATAAAAAGGAATGATGGTCATACCTGTGTGATTTGCTCCACATGCAACTTTGACAATTGTTTCACCCGCCAGAGAGGCTATGGCTTTAGGACGTGGCTGAGCTTCGTAGGCAAGTTTAACCGAGCTATCCTTCATATTGAACTGAAAAGACACAACAATGTAACCTGTTTTAAAGCAAAAGATAGAGACATCCTAAACGTAATCTATATCAACCTCAACTCAGAGAGATAGACTAATGTAGGTCAATTAATCATGGCAAATTTTCCTTCACATGAGAAGATACAATAGCTCATAAACTTGTATGGAATATTCAAAATAATCACAAACAATTTGCTCCAAACACTTCCAATCATGAAAAGATTTATTAAGCTTTGAATAGATTACCTCATTATCAGTTCCATGACCAAGCTGACCATACTGTGGGAGTCCAGCAGTCCTATAAACAAACACTCTTCAATTAATCAAGCAATTAAACTCAAAACAACAGAACTAAACCAAAGACTAAAGAAACCATACAGTATAGTGGCTCCTTCAGTAGAAGATAACCACACTGTGAACTCAGCCCCACATGCAACGTTTGTGACCTCATCAGACACAACACAAGGAAGAGGCGAAGACTCAACTTCCACAGAAACAAATCCTGCAAAAGATACAGATTTCCACACCATTAAAAAACCGGTCAAGAGTACACAAGCATAATAGTGTCATACCGTTTTTAG